CGGCCATCATGAGCCTTTAAGACGGTAGAGGAGGAGCCACTATAAAAAGGGCTCCTCCACCATTGTATGATACAGAATCCAGAACCCGGAGAGGGAATAGACAAGTACTATTAGGCATCATATTTTACTAAGACTCAAACCCTTTCGTGAAAGGTGTATCCACCAGCTATAGGTTGTGTTGGACCTCCTTGGGCCCGAAAACCCAAAAACCATCAATAGTAATGAGAGTTAATGGTTCAGATGAACTACCATGAAAAGCTTAAATAATATTTGGAGTTGTGGAGTTATAAATATTATTTTAGTTTGGTAGAAAGTATGTTGAGAAATATGAATGTTGCGCACAAATCGTTATTTAAACGATGGATTCGATTGTATCAAATTCGTTAATTTAACGAATCGAAAGATTCAGGTTTAACGAGTTGATGGCATGCATTTTATTCATTTTGTTGGGTTACACGAATCAATGCTTTCGTTGGTTTTAAAACAACATATCGTGTTGGCTTTAAAGGATTTGATACATTCTATTCAATTCGTGCTTAACGAAAGGAAACATTAAGTTGCTTATCAAGTGGAAACTTTTGTCTAAAAGTTTCGGCCTTGCCGCATGCATGCTTGAAATTAACGAAAGGAAGGATTCGGTCATGTTATTGAATTACACGAGTTCTTGGCTTCACTTGGCTGCATGCGTGGAAATGTGAAATGGAATGAATTCGTTGGAATACCTGCATGCGTGAAATGTAGTAAGTTAATATATAATTATATATTATTTATTTACTTAGCTTTTGCATGTTTCATGCATTAGTTACAAGTATTAAATATATATTTATATATTACCCATAAATTTGAATGCAGTACGCATACTATAATTATATAGTTTATATATAATTATATTTCCCATGCCTGATATATCAGATAAGATATATTTTATGGAAGTTGAGTTTTTGAACTCCTATAGGGCATGCAATAAACTTGCAGACTGAGATATTTCACAGTACTGCATTTCTACAGGAAATTCTTAAACAAAGCAACTTAAGAATTTCATCATCTTCTTGTATCCCATAAGATTAAATCTTGAACCTTGTTGCTTTATATGAGAGAGATTTAAAGCTTATAGGAAAGTGATTACAGGCCCGAAGATCTTGTTTCCTCACTTCCCTATCATCAATCACTACATTTCTCTAACACCGCCCTCGTTCCAGATCGACCATGACTCTTGATCAGATCCTCAGCGGCCTAGAACGTGGCCCTAGTTCCAGAGACTCATTATAACCGGAGACTTCTACAGTCTGATTCCGCGACGTTCTAGCTATGGTACACCCAATTCCCAGCCCCAAGTTTCAAGGCATGAAGCTTAAATAATTCCCTTCCTGCCTAAAATTTGGTGACCGAAGACTTCTACAGTCTAATGTGGTGGTGGCGGATGCTGTGGCGGCGTTTGACGGCACTGTGAATTTCACCTCCATAAAACACACCATCTCCACGCCCCTGAACTCAGCTCCTGCCGCTACGTCATATATGTCAAGAAGGGAGTGTACAGAGAATATGTAGAGATTGGTAAGAGGAAATGGAACATAGTTCTGCTGATCGGAGATGGCATGGATGTCACCGTCATTTCCGACAACTACCGTTTTTTATATATAATATATATTTTATATACAATATATAATTTATTTATTTTTTAATTATTTTAATTAATTATTTTATATAAAATTATTTATAATAAATAATATTTTTAATTTTTAATAAATATAAAAAAAAACATTTTAAAAAAAATTAAGGACACATGTCAACACCGTATGGATTTAACTTGATAAACAAGTCAAATTTGACTTAATTGAACAATTTTACCGGTTTAGGGGGCTTGAATGAAGCTTTTTTCACTTAGGGAACCCAATTGCACTATCCACTCGACTTAGGGGGCAAATTTGACACTTTTCCATTAGTTTTTCCATACTAGAGGGGTTCAAACTCTCGTCCTCTCTTAAGGGATGAGAGTGCACGACCACTCATGTCAATTTATTAAATCTAAAAAGGGTATTTGTTTCATCAGTGGCTCTTCAGTACCGACTACTCGCGTTCGGGCTTGGAAACTAACCAGATGCTCCTTTGGATTGTCATTCCCATCGTAGGTAAGATGCTCAGGTATCGTGAACTTAGCCGGCACCTTGTAAGCCAATATTTCAGACATAAAGGGCGAGGCAGGTAGCAGACTGCGCATACTAGGTGTCTTTCCTTCCAATTTTTCCTCAGGTCGCAGACCTCCTGGGCGAGGTCGAGCGACTTCCACTCGAACCCGACCGGGGGGGGGGGGGGGGGGGGGGGGGTCCTGCAGGCGACTCGGTACTACTCTCATGCATTGAATAGGTTTCCATCTGCATGTGAGCGGCGTATCTACGCTCTTGCCTATTTCTCGGCTCACATGGCTCTTCTTCCCTTCACAATTCCCCATTAACCAGACTGACTTCTCACCGTACAACCTGGTCGCCAAGCCTATCAAAGGTCGAACGATGAGTCATCACGGGACCCAGCCTTAAACGAACATAGGAGCGGTGGGAGGATACAGACCTCTCTCGTTCCACTGGCCCAGAACGAGGTGGTTGGACTCCTGTTGTCTGCTGACTAGGAGGTGGGGTGATGATGCCTACTGGAGCAGTCGCCGTTCGCACTCCAATTTCACGCTCATAGAGATCTAGCATTCTATTCATTACCTCAACGATAATGGGGTCAGTCGTCACTGGTGGGGGATCGGAGGTGCGTTGATGACTAGTTCTCTGTTAGGCAATGGAACACTTAGACGGGTGTTGACCGTTTGCTCATGTTCGCAGGAGCTTTAGCGACTGAGCTGCTCTCGCAAATCCCGTGCCTGCTACGCCTAGTTCTGACCGCCGGTAACCTGAGTTCTCCTTGTTCTTGTCATTTTCTGTTTCAGATTCTTCTTTAGTTGGCTAGAACGACACAACCTTTTGTATCGATCCCCACAGACAATGTCATTGTTGGTTTTATTGACTACCGGGGTAGTCAATCGGCAGGCCAACACAACCGAAAAATAAGAACCCGGTGACCGGAATAATAAATGTGTCGTATTGCTTTGTGTGCGTATCTAAAGCTTAACCCTTTTTAGGGTGTACAAGGGCCTAAACTAGACAAGTTCTCATTGCCATAAATACACTTGATCTCCTTTCTAAATACAATTGATTCCCTTTCCTATGTTCATTTGATCTCCTTTTCTTATCGCCCCCAACGTATTCACCGACCCTCGAGATCCTCTCACCGGATCGCCTAAGGACGTTGTCATATCTACCCTCTAGATTGTATTTGATGGAGACAGAAGTCCCCCAATTCCGTTGATAGCAAGCTCCAGTCACGACTAACTATATCAAGACCTTTCTTTTCAATTACCTGGATGGCATAGCAATATAGTGACAAGCTGATAGTTGTAACTAATTCTTAAGAGCATAGTGTTAACTTGATAAAAATGTATGAAGTATAATTGCTACCTCATAAGGTGTTCCATCCTTAAATTGTACTTTAATAGCAACATATTTCTTTTTTCTTGAGTAGCAGTATTCTTTTTGTACAAGCCATCAAGATCAATTTTAAAACATTTATATTTCTTGTTAACCTACAAAAGAAAAGTGATTCACCTATCATAGAAAGTCTAGAGGCTTAGCATAAAATCTAGAATTGGAGAACCCAAGGCAACGTAACCATACATGCTGCATCAGAAATGGTTGAAGTCAGAGAACTAAAACTTCAAGACAACTATGATGGCAATTGACAAGTGAACTAAGCAGTAAAGTAGTCTTTTTAGGTTTGGTTCTAGAATGAAGCTCTTAACTCTGTTCCTTCTAGCACAAGAGAGAAGTAAAATTCAAAAGTTTGCACATTGTAATGCTACTATTCTTTCCCATGGAATTATGAACAAAAAAAAAAAATCGTGGGAGAGGCATACACAACTAACCAACCCAATATGAATATGTGCTTATAAAATTTTCTGGACTATGAACCTCAGCCTGCAATGCTTCTCTTAATTCCTGCAATCCTGCCAAGTGCGCTCATTCCAGATTAAATCTGCACGGTTGTGATCAAGGTTAAAAGCTTGCCAAAACTCAGGCCAATTCAATAATAACTTTCCACATCCCATCTTCTATAACTACCTGAGTAGGAGCTGGAGCTGGAAGCCTACTAAACGGTCTTTGAACCTCTCGTGATTAAAACTTCTCCATATGGTTCCTCCTGTTCAACTTTAATGAACCCTTCTGTGGCAAGAGCTTCATAAAAGCAGCACAGTTAATGTTCAGTTTTGAATTGGAACGATGCTATATATCAGATATCAGGGAGGAAACAGAGATATGCATACCGCAAGTAAGATAAAAGAACATCGACGCCTCCTTTCTGCTTATGTTATTTGTTAACTCACTCAATTTTCGTACAGATGGTGAATTGGGAGCATCAACTAAATTCTTCATATCCCTGCAGGCATCATCATGTCACTAACAAGAATAAGTTGATCACATAACAAATCTGAGTTTACAGTTAAAAACATGAGTTTACTCGCGAAATCGATTGAGTGAATAATCATCAAAATGCTGCTCAACACTTTGACTCTGTGTCTGGGTTGATACAAATGTCGGGCCCTCACTGCGTTGGGGTGGAAGTGGAACTTCAGGTTGTTCCACAGTAGTATGGTCCTCTGGCTGCTATGTATAATATTAGACTAACTACGATTGCTCTTAGTTTTTCATAGTTTTTCTAGGTCTGCTATTTAGTTACTCATGTTGGAAAACAAACCTGAGTATAGATACATAAATCATGCGGCACAGGAGAAGGACCAACATCATTACCGTTATCATCTGCAACTGTATCCTGTCCAATAACATCTGCTGCTGCTATTGGTTCGTTTACCTCAAAATCGTCAAAGAGCATCATAATCAAAATAAGTAATCAGACAAATAGAAAACTGAAAATTCACAAGTTTGTAGACAGAAAAAGTGGTTTACATTTTCTAAGCTATTTCCTTCAAATGGAGATGATGATGATTCAGGGAATTGAATGCTCAAGGTTCTTCCTGCACATGGAGCAGAATTTGCCTTATACAATTGGTCTTTGCAATGAGAATTTAGAAATGATTTATTAGAATATCTAACCAGAAGATGAACCATGCAGCACAGGAGGATGTTGCTCCTTGAGCCTGGCTACCCACTAGTTGAAAATGCATCCGAGTTTTAGGCCAAGTGGAACCAAAGGAATTAAAAATTACATTTATACCCTCAGAGAGTTAGAGACATACATTTTTCTTTTTTCTTCTTTTTGTGCTGGAAAACCAACATTTAGGGATGGCCGGACGATCTCCTATTCTCGCACTGCGTCGGGGTGGAAGTGGAACTTCAGCGATGACCGGATTAGCTCGCGCTCTTATTCTCTCACGGCGTTGGGGTGGAAGTGGGACTTCCACAGTAGTATGGTCCTGTGGCTGCTAAGTATAATATTAGACTAACTACGAGTGCTCTTAGTTTTTCATAGTTTTTCTAGGTCTGTTAGTTAGTTACTCATGTTAGAAAACAAACCTGAGTATCCATACATGAATCATGTAGAACAAGAGGGAGACCAATATCATCTGCTTCTTGAGCAAGACCAACATCATTACCGACATCATCTGCAACTGTATCCTGTCCAATTTCATCTGCTTCTTGAGCAAGACCAACATCATTACCGACATCATCTGCAACTGTATCCTGTCCGACATCATCTGCAACTGTATCCTGTCCAATTTCATCTGCTTCTTGAGCAAGACCAACATCATTACCGACATCATCTGCAACTGTATCCTGTCCAACTTGAGCAAGACCAACATCATTACAGACATCATCTGCAACTGTATCCTGTCCAACATCATCTGCTTCTTGAGCAAGACCAACATCATTACTGACATCATCTGCAACTGTATCCTGTCCAATATCACCTGCTTCTTGAGCAAGACCAACATCATTACCGACATCATCTGCAACTGTATCCTGTCCAATATCATCTGCTTCTTGAGCAAGACCAACATCATCACCGACATCATCTGCAATTGTATCCTGTCCAATATCACCTGCTGCAGCTATTGGATCGTTTAACTCAAAATCGTCAAAGATCATCATAACCAAAATAAGTAATCACAAATAGAAAATTGAAAAACATATTCAAAAGTTTGTAGACAGTAAAGTGGTTTACATTTTCTAAACTATTTGAAAAAATATTTCCTTCTGTTGGAGATGGTGATGGTTCAGGGGGTTGAATGTTCAAGGTCCTTCCTGCACATGAAGTAGAACTTGCCTATTACAATTGGTCTTTGCAATGAGAATCTAGAAATAATGATTTATTAGAATATCTAACCAGAAGATGAATCATCTGGCAAATGAGGAGGCTGCTCGGCTACACACTAGTTGAAAATGCAACCGAGTTTTAGAAGAGTAAAATTTCTTAACAGCCTTAGTTCAATTAAATCCAATATGGAAATGTCTGTTTATGATAAATTTTTGCCATAACTGCTACTCTTGCTATTAATTGAAACATACCTCAGTGATGACTGGATTAGCTCGGGCTCTTATTCTCTCACTGCGTCGGGATGGTAGTGCTGCGTTCACAGCTTTCAAGGAACTCAACAAATCACTATAAAAAAGTTTAACTTTCTGTTTGTGGACTATCGCAAGTCCACCTGAAAAAAAAAAAAAAAAAAAAAAAACAGATGATGCAAGTGGCATTGCAGGGAGTGCTGAATGACACAGCTAAAATTGCATTTTCTGAAACATTTACCCAAGAGTGTTGCCTTAAGTCTCAGAGGCAGCACTGCAAAATTATGTGGATTCAAAATCTCTTCGCTGCATAATTAAAACACGAAATCAGTAAACTAACTTGGAATAGGAATGAAATGCTAGAATTAATAGCTCACCAGATCTCAGAAATGTTGAGTTCACTAAGCTCCTCCCTGCTAAATTTTGGGCGTAGAGTCGCCGCCCTCCTTCATAAGCAAGAGATAACAGCATTTCAGTTTAAAAAACGCCAGGGAAATGGAAAACATGACGGAGATAAGCAAACTTCACCATATATGACGGAGACGAGCATTGTGAGCGAAAAGCTGAAGATTGTTGAACATCGTTGCGAAAAGTTGCAAATGTGTATTGATGGACAATTTGAATAAAGTCGCACAAATCACTGTAGTAATAGTGGCAAATGCAAGGAGTCAAACCCAAAGGGAATTGATACACGGCAATTTAAAGACTTCAAATTAAAACAATTAACTTGTGCTAAAAACAATTTAAAGTGCTAACTTAACAACTTAAAATCCTCTCAGATCAATTAATTAATTGCATCAAAGTTTGCCAACCAATATAATACAATCAATCAACAAAATAATATGGAAGGATAAAACTTAACTTGATTGGCAATTTGGCATATTAAACTTAGATCAGATCAACACAAGAATTTCATGGCAATTTATCATATTCTTAGAATGACAATTAACAACTCATTGTAATCAACAATAAACAGCGCAGTAGTAGTCAATCATTGTAAATAGCGACGGAAATTCTGTCGCTAAACCCAAAAAAAAAAAAAAAAAAAAAAAAGCTAATTTCCTACCACGACAATTTAATGACCAAATTTGCATGGGAATAGCGACGGACTTTTCCGTCACTAAATATAGCGCTGCTAGTTTCGTATCTTGAAGAAAGAGTAGGCTTAAGTAATAGGGGTCAGGTCAATAATAGCTATGCTATTGCCCTACTGATTTCAGGCCAATTGTTTTGAATTATTTCATAAGTTTGATGGCAAATCCTACCTTCCCACACCCAAAAGGTGCCCCACATAGGTCTTCCCCGAAACCCCCCGGCTAGACAGAGCGCTTTTAGAACGATTGAGTGAATTTCTTCCTTATTCTTATTCAATACCCAACCAAGGGAACGTATCACATTAGAGGTGAACGATCAGAGGTGTCCTCTAATCACCACGATGAGGCCGCCGAGTGGAAGAGCCGTCGCTCAACGGATAAAAGTGACTCGAACAATTTCGCAAGGGACACAAACGTTCTCAAATAAGTAAGGGAAGCTCTAGTTCCTATGTTAGAAAAAAGAGTGTCGGAAAATTCCTTAGAGAACAATAATGGAGTTAATAGCCTCTTAAAGAAACAACGCGAATAATGGAGAGTTCCCTAGTAACTAGGAAGCTACCAACGCGATCATCTAGGTGAATTTACTGACCATTCACACAGTTCAGCATGTGTAACTGGCTAATTAGTCACCAAAATTTCCTTTAATTGATTAGTTCATAAACAAACTAAAAATATTCTAAAATAGTTCAAGACTAAATTGATTTTAAATGCATTATGATTTGCTATTAAAATTGAAAGGAAAATACTTCAAATCCAAAAGTTTTGCAATTAAACAGTCCAACATTAAAAATTTATTTATTGTAAGCCTTCTCATAATTCAAAATAACATATAGAAGATAAATGAAATCAATAGACTCTTGAGAGAAAAATTAGAATTCTCCTATAATACAATGATCTAGGTGAACCTACTGACCTATTAGCATATACTCAAGCATTTATAACTTGTTAATTAGCCACCAGATATTCCCTAATTGATTCATTTACAAACTTATTAAAAAAAGCACTCTAAAACAAATTAAAAAGCGCTCTAATAAGGAAGTCACCAATACAAAGTAATGAAGCAACAAATAAACAACCACCAACTGCTAACCAATACACACTATGCATCAATACTCAATAAACTCATTTACATACAGGCAAATGCTAACTACAATCATGTATGTAAATGAGTTTATTGAGTATTGATGCTACAAATTCTGTACAAGCAAATGCTAACTACAATCCTGTATGTAAATGAGTTTATTGAGTATTGATGCATAGTGTGTATTGGTTAGCAGTTGGTGGTTGTTTATTTGTTGCTTCATTAACAAATCCTGTATGGTTGTTTACAGATCAAATTCTGTACCAAATTCTTTTGATCTAACTACAATCCAAGCAGCCAAATGCTAAAACATTTAAAAGCATCCCTAAATGGCTAAATCCCAATTAACAAGAAGTTGATACTGTTCAGATTTAGGTCAGATTAGACAATCACTAACCAAGGAGTGATCCAACAGTAGTTTGACAAATCTAAGTTATTCCAATGTTTGTTCATTAAAAAGCTCTGTAGTTAATGAGGTTCCAACTCAAAACTTCGAATTAAATAAGATATTTTATGTCATTTATTTGATTCCAAGGCATTAGACCTAACATTCTAACAATATTTTATTCCAAGGCATGAAACCTAACATTCTAACAATATTTTATTCTTAGGCATTTAAATATATGCAGCAAGTGCTGCGTGGATAGCTCAAATAAGCAAAAGAAACGCGGGACTCTACCCCATAAACAAATACATACCAATGCGTCAGGGAAGCGGCGGTTGACGGAGGACACAGCGGCGGTCGGCGGAGGACGCAGCGGCGATCGGAGGAGGACGCAGCGGCGATCGGAGGAGGACGCAGCGGCGGTCCGCGGAGGACGCAGCGGCGGTCGGAGGAGGACGCAGCGGCTGTCGGAGGAGGACGCAGCGGCGATCGGAAGAGGACGCAGCGGCTATCGGAGGAGGACGCAGCGGCGATCGGAAGAGGACGCAGCGGCTATCGGAGGAGGACGCAGCGGCGATCGGAAGAGGACGCAGCGGCTATCGGAGGAGGACGCAGCGGCGATCGGAAGAGGACGCAGCGGCGGTCGGAGGAGCACGCAGCGGCGATCGGAAGAGGACGCAGCGGCGGTCGGAGGAGCACGCAGCGGCGGTCGGAGGAGCACGCAGCGGCGGTAGGAGGAGCACGCAGCGGCGGTCAGCGGAGGACACAGCGGCGGTCGGCGGAGGAGCAGCACCGTCAGCGGAGGACGCAGCGGCCGGAGGAGAATAGCAGCGGTGGGCCTGAGGGAGTAAATTCGACAGCCCAACAAAATTGGTCCAAAATTGATGGTACTGTGGACATAAATTTTATTATGGATTAAGTATCATTTTAATCGCTAAGGTTCTTGTAGTTTAGTGGCATCAAGTTGTTTTTTTATATGAAATGGTGTGTGTTCGAGTTTTAGTGGAGTCAATATTGCATTGTAATAGAGTTAGTAGTATTAAAAATATATATCATTTTAATTACACTCCACTTTCATTTAACAAAATTGTTATGTTTTTTTAGTTTCCTTTTCACTTCATAATAATTTAATTACATTAATATTAAAGTGTCATTTTTTTGAAAGGAAGTATCATTTTTTTTTTTTGAAATGAAAGGAAGTATATTTTAATTTTACTATAATTTCATTTGATAATATACATTATTTCTTGAGTTTTATTTTTTTTGTTTCATTTTCCACACACTAATTTAATTATTTTAATATTAAAATATTATTTTAATTGCATTTTAGGTCATTACACAATATATGTTATTGTATGACGTTGAATTTTAGTTTTATTTTTTCATGCACACTAGTTTCATTATAACAATAATAAAATATTATTTTTAATTTTTAATTATACTATATTTTCATTTGATAAAAATGTGATATGATTATTACTTTTATTTTTCAAACATATTTCTTTCATTATAATAACACTAAAGTATCATTTTAATTTTACTTCAATTTTATTTGACGATTATAGTCCACACAACAATATGTAGACCATAGGTCCATAATTCACTATATAACAACGTAACTATTGGAGATATTGATATCCCTACTTATTTACTTTTACCAAGAAGCAAACATCTTTAACGGATTTTTCTAAACTAAAATCCAACATAAAATATTGAAGTTTTTTTTTTTTAGGTAGTATTTACTTTTGTGATAACCCAGGGCTATATTATATTAGGACCTAGCTAACAAAAGATTCAAGCATGAGTATACTACGTACTATTAAGTGGTTGAAGCCACAAATTAAAGTGTTCATTTTATTATCAAATATATCATATTTTAATCAATTTGATTGATACCTCATAATATAACAAAAATATATTTTTGACTCTATTTATTTATGGTGTCTTTGATTTATGGGTTTACTGACTAAAAATCGGAATCAAAATCATAATTAGTGTTTTGTTGATAACTTTTTAAAACACAGTGAGATTTAATTACTCATTCAATTAAAAATCTCATTCCCTAATTTTTTTTAAAAAAAGTATCATTTCATCTCATTGGTAATATGATTTTTAAGTTTGGATTAGTACTTTTAGATTTTTGTTTTGATTTTTTTGTTCATATTGGTGCTTTGGGTGTCATTATATTAGGATCAATTGTCTTGAATTTTTGTTTTTATATTATTAAAAACGAGTTAATTCCCAAGATGGTCCCCCGACTATGGCATTTTGTCAAATTGGTTCATTGACTTTTAATTGCACCCAAAGTAGTCCACCGACTATTGAATTTTAAGCCAAAATGGTCATCCGTTAGCTTTGATATTAAGTGGGTGTTAAAATGAGGGGTAAAACTGGCAATTCAAGGTTTTCACTATAGTCAGATGGCTACTTTGGGTGCAATTAAAAGTCAAATGACCAATTTAAGAAAAGGTCATAGTCGGATGATTATTTTGAGAATTTTCTCTTTATAGTTCAAACATGATTTTGTACTCATTTTGATTAAAACGGGTTGATCTTGTACTTATTTTTACTTTCTAAATAAACAATCTTTTTTACTTTAGTTGTTAGCTAAAAAATTATTTTAAAAAAAAAATAACTTAGAATAATAATTTTGATTATTAGCCTAGTACTTATATATAGTTGTACAAACTAACATTAACTTTGGATTAACTCTTTATATATATATATATATATATATATATATATATATATATATATATATATATATATATATATATAGAGGCTCTTCTTATTCTCATGGCCTGGTCAGTAGTCAGCCGGGCCTTTTTTTGTTCCAACGATTTACAAATAAAGAGTTAGAAATAAAAAAAAAATGCTTGTTATTTTATTAGTTCTTATATTCTTATATTATTTATTATTCTATTCTATATTCTATTAGAATTATATTCTATTGAATGTCCTTAATATTCAAATATATTAAGATTGAATTTGATTCTCCCCACGAAAAACGATTTTGTGATGACCCCTATTTTGAGTATCAAAATTCTCCTGTTCGACAAAAGGTATATTTGTGTACAATAATCGGATTGTAGCGGGTATAGTTTAGTGGTAAAAGTGTGATTCGTTTTTTGTTATCCGAAATATATATATATATATATATATATATATATATATATATATATATATATATATATATATATATAAATCAGACCTCCATGGTTATATGCATGAATATCTACGAAAAAGATATATACATATTAACCAAATGAAATTTATAATACACAGATTATAATTCCAACCAAAGTATAACATAAAAGGAGAATTTTTGCTTAGAAGCATAATCCAAAACCGAAAGAAGGAAAGATTGGCTCGTGTTTGGATAAGGGTTTTTAGCGTGAGTCAAAAGACCACTCTTTCCTTAAAACCTTATTTGCCACCTCCCAAAAGTGCTAGGAGCGCCGTGGCCTAGGTTTCCCATGATAAAACGCGCTACGGTTCGACGTTCGAGCACCCAAACAAAAGAACCCGGCGAACTAGAGCAAAGCCTTGAACACAGTTCGGCTTAAGAAAGGAGTAGAAGCAGAGTTTTGAGGAGAGAAAACACTTCCTGTGTTGTGTGTTCTTGTCACTATGTGCTTGTGTAAAATCTGCTCCCTCTACCCCTTCTTATATAGGGATCAAAGAATGAATAGCATTCATCATGGCATTTAAATTGGTTTTAAAACCAATTTTGTAACTCTTGAAACAACATGGCCATTATCCAAGATTTAAATTCAGATATTGAAAATTGGAATTAATAGAGGATTTAATTCCGTAACGGTTAAATTTAATCTCACAACGGTCTAAAAGCTGAAGGCAAAAAGCATGTTGCTGATTCGGCCCCCAAGGCCGAACCCATGTTGTCCTATGTTTCGGCCATAGCCGAAACTCCAGTTTCACACGAAACCAAAGTGGCACACAAAAGAAGTGAAACAAAGTTTCATTTCGTGGGCTAGTGAAACCATTTCACTTCCTGCACCACGAATGTGAAACAAATGTTTCATTGTTTCATTTCGTGTGGCCCCCACGAAATAGTTAGAAAATGAGATCTAGACCCGGCACACAAGATTAGGCTTGATCCAAGCCTTTTCGATCTCATTATGGGATTTGATTTACAACCCCCTTCTCGCGCGCGAGAGAGAGTCTCTATGCTATACAATTCAATAAGCTTAAAAAGAGCTCTTGTATAAATAGTGGGGCAAATCCTCTTCCCAACCCAATGTGGGACAAAAGCTCACTTTTTCCCTTCATTTTCCAACTCAAATGGGTCTACTTTGAGAATCAATATCTCATTAACCCATTATCCGTTTTGTGCGTACAATATATCAATCTCTTCGTCTCACTACAAAGAACCCGAATCCACTTTGACCCGACCCAAATCGAAAGTGGACCCCACTGATAACTGTACCACAAATAGCCACTTAAAAAGCCATTTTAATGCTATTTTTCCAACAATCCCCCACATGAATGAAAAATTGATTTTCGGGGTATTTTGAAATCGGAAACAACTGTGTTCAAACGGTCAATCCCTGCATAGGATAGGTAGGGAGTCACTATACCCTTTGAACCTTCCCTTGTGAAGATATATTTACTCTACTGGCTGTACGGTAGAACGCGATGTCTTTGAACCGACTGCTGTTTGTGTAGACGATGACATATCTCACACAGGAACCTTCTAACCATGCTCTGTTCTCATGAGTGTGCCCATTTTGGTCGTGGGTCACCGTTCCTGGTTCTGCGAGAGTTTCTAAAGAACTATGCCCAACAATTATCCTTTGAAGCGACCCTCACTTCTCTCTTTCATAGGTGATTCTTTCTCGAGTATCCCGCATACTCAAGAATCATTAAAGCATCAACATGCTAGCCTCGTGCGGGAGTCACTGTTTCTAACGAGGAGTGGTAGGGAGTCCGAGACCCCCACAGTGACACGCTCCGTTCCATAATTTAATTGTCCCATTGAACCTAGGTGCCAGCTAGGTTGGGTATCCACTATAGAACTTTTAGTCCAAAGGCTTTAGACCCATTCCTCGTTCCAATTTCTCAACAACCATTTGCTTACCCTCGGGTTAGCGAGTTAGCGGCCGCTACGTTATCTTTTGACATCACGTAGTCAATAGAGATAACCCTCGTTGTGAGTAATTGTTTAATGGTATTATGTCTACGACTTATAAGTCTAGACTTACCATTCTATGTCTAACTCTGTACTTAACCAATTTTTGGCTTGACCATCACAATGCACACAAATTGGAGGTACGAGTTTACCACTAGGAACATTCCCGAAAAATGGCATAGCCATTCGGCCTACTCGCTCGCGACACGAGTGTAAGGCTCTCAGCTTTGATCCCGTCGGACCTTAGCTATCACAAATTCATTTCGAGAATTTCCGTCCAACCGACGGCACTGGCCTACGTTAGGACGTAGCCTTTAATGGACTTAGCGTCCTTTGATATCCGTGCTATACTTTCCAAGTACGGCTAGATATCCCACGTAGTGTAGTCTAGGGTACGAGCATACCTTAAGTATCTCATAACTCACGCTATTGCCTTCTAGTGCGCAACATTAGGGTTACTCGTATGTCTACCGAGTTCGTTAACCGCTAAGGCAATATCCAGCCTAGTACAACCCATTAGATGCAATTAAACTACTAATAATCTGAATGTATTCTCCGTGAGATGTTCAACCTTCGTGATTATTGGCTAGTTGTACGTTAGTATCTAACGGTGTCCAAGCCATTTGATTAGCATCCTTGGCAAGGACTTAATCAACACAATGAGATTGGCTTAACCACGAGACCATATGGTCTTCTCACAATGTTTAATCCCGAGGATTAA